CACATGTACAAAATTTCATTTTGATCTGATTTTAAGAAAAAAAGATTAAAATTCAGATAGTGATATGAATTTTGAAGCGCCTGATGAAGATCTGACGGCTGAGAGCTAGTAGCTTACATTATTCATTATAGCTAGTAGCTTAAGAAATTTTGAGTTTTAAAAGTTAAATTGTTATATTTTGTTAAAAAGGGATGACTCTATTACTTATTTTGATATCATTATAAAATATAAATTCTAAAAGAAAGGTATTGAAAGAGACCATTTACCTTTAGTACAAAGATGTCACAATCATTATTGTCCCTTAATTTCAAAATAGGTGATTGTAAGAGTGTCATTGAATAAACTCAAAGTTTAGGAAAAAACAAAAAAAATCTTGAACTTCATGACATACCGCAAGTCATCCAATTTGACATCTAATGAATAAGAATAATTGTGACCTCCTTGTTACAAAGGTAAATGACATCTTTGTATAAAATCCCAATTCTAAAAGCCTATTTTACTCCGCATATTTAATTCACAAACTAAATTTAACACTAGTGGGCTCCTTTGCCTCAAAAGTAGCAGCAATAATGGCAACACGAGAGACAAGGAGAGGAAATGAGAGTGTGATCAGCAACCTCTCATCATGAAGAAGGTCAGTGCATCATCTGGATGCGCTTAAATTATGTCCATTGGCTAGTAGAGTACGTTCTCTTTGCTTCCTTCTTCATCGTTTCTTTTTTTTTTTTTCTTATTTTTTTGTCTTTTTCTTCTTCTTTTTTCATTTGAACATTCATGGCCTGGTGGAGTATTGGTCATATATCCCGACCAATGCCAGAAAATCCTTCTTTTTTTAGACACATATGCACACAGGATTCGAACTCGGAAATCCACAAGCTGCTCCTAGCTAAGCCATTCAAGAATGATGATGTAGATTTTACACATAACATATGATGTTATATGCTTACTTTCCAATATTTTTCTAGATCAGCGATCTGGCAACCGATATGGGATCGAAGGTGGGATGATCCGCTACACTGATCCATTTTTTAAAAAATTGTTTTTTTTCGATTGGTGAAACTCATTTAACTATTTGCAACTCATTGCAGTCAAGTCGACTAGCAAGCTATCATATTATATTAAAAAAGGAAAATACCGAAAATGCCACATATTTTTTGGAACACATAAATAGTCTCCCATATTTTATATTATACACACAAGTCTCATTTTTGTCTCTAAGTTTTTTTTTTATTTAAATTAACTTTGGTGAAGTTCTGAACCTGTCCCTAGCTGGTAGCTTCAAGTTTCCATATTGGTCATTTTTGTTAGATTTATGTGGACTTTAAAGGCCTTATGGATGCTTGTAAAATGAAATAATATAGTGGAACATGAACTCAGTGGCAGTGTGGTCCGTCGTAGACCATACTAAGCAAACGATGTTTGCGGATACCGAACTATGCTTAACTATATAGGCCAGTCAGTTGAAAAACCCAAGGTACCTGAGCATAGAAAACAAACCATGAAAAGTTTTGGGTTATCCCTTGATGAGGTCAGAGCTTATACCTGGATGAATGAGCCGAAGGACTGTGTGGCCTTTGTGTGTGATGGTGGACCTATAGAGACGGGAGCCAAACCCTCATCCATGATCCATCACACGATATGCATATCGATATATCATTCGGGAAAGCCAGATATCCACCTTTTAGGTTGAAGTGTATGCATGTATAAGAGATACCCCTATGCGACATAGAGATGCGGTCGCATAAGGGCTTGGTGACCTTGACTCGTCTCTAAAGAAGGACCTGAAATCCACAGACTGAGATTGCGACTCCTTAGTTCATCAGCCAGACTTTGGTGATCCGCTAAAGAGCCCCTACTTAAACTGTGGGTCATGGGAAACATTAGATCGGTCTGATAAAACAAGTGTGGTCTGTAGTCCATAGTTGAAGGTGGAGTGCCCTGTGATTGTTAATTCATATCCTAAACCATATGGATACATTTCTCATCATATTAATTTAATTATGTTTGTTTTATGATAGAAATTGTTTTAGAATTAATATTTGAATTTTTGTGAGTCTTTTGATATTTTATTTATAATTTTTGAACTTATAAAAGTACAGTTATTGATTTTACAAAAATATAAAATTCAAATAATATTTTAAATTTTAATTTGTTAAATATTATTGGGGCTCATAGTGCACATGGGCACACCATGCACTATGTGGGTGGGGCCCACTTGTGCCACACATGGGTGGCACGCCCCACCTCTTGGTTGTTTGCTTTGTTGTCCAATTATTCAAATTCAGAAAAGGTATCTGGTGGCATGTGATTTAATATTAGATATGAAAAAGATTGACCATATTTTATCTTAAATATTGAAAGCATATCTTGACTTGACATATCTTTGAATAGTACGGGAAAGAATATGTTATTTTATGGAATAAATAATATTTAAATAACATTCAATTTATTTAAATATATTGATGGGAAAATGGTTTAAAGAAAGGGGGATAATGGTCCAAGCACCTTCCATAATGTTGATAGCCCATATATGGACTGAATGACTCAGATCTCTCACCCCACAAGTCTCATTGATCAATGGTTCATATT